AATTAAGCTATTAAGATTTTTTTTTTTTTGCATTAGATAACCACATGAGACTATTAACATGGTCAAAGATCAACCACAGGGGCTAAAGCTAATAATAAATATGTATTTGTGATTAGTGCCCGAGCACTAACAGAGTTCAAGGCATGCAGTCAGGTTTCAAATGGCACCTCCTTTCTTTTCTACCTTTTGAACAGATATGTCTCAGGTGGACATTTACTCCCCAAGGAACAATATACTCTCCTGCCCTTTGCGGCAGGTTTTTACCTTCTGAATTTTATTCCACACACGTCCTTTATCGCTGCTTCTTCCTTCAAGGGTGTCCATGGCATCTGCCATTAGCGACTGCAGCTGTGGCACCAAGATAAAAATTATCAGTGTGGAATTCACACAGAAATAACTTCTCTAAATACACAGATTAAAACCTAATTAAAAAATCATTTGTACGCTGATGATTTTATTACTCATCTTTCACACAATGAGAACTGCCACCTCATCTCTGCTTCAGCCATTACACTGTATTATTGTGGATATAAAATACTTAACAATGGGGAAAAAAAATCCCCTGGAAAATTTGTATTTAAGCCTATACGTTTTAATGCAGTAAATGTTTATACTTAGTAAAGGAAGACTTGGGTTGTAAAGAATAAAGGCTCCGTATTTCATTCTTCAGCTGTCTGGGATATTCTGTGTCGTACATGAATGCTTTTTAGTATTTTCTCCCAAGGCTAATGTATCATAATTTAAAGCAGCATGTAAAACCTCACAAGAGGACAACACTAAAGCTGAGATGCTTTTACTGTAGCTGGAAGTATCTAGCTCATTTTCCTTGCCTTTACTATCTTTTTCTTTGGCAAACCCTCCCTTCTTCCCATCATTCAGCATAACAGAGCATAAAACCAAGGCAGACAATTGCTAGTGTAAACTATAAAAAGAAGCGGTAGGAAAATACTTGCTAATCAGCCCTTAGTGTTAGGGGGAAGGCTAAAATTCAGATTAGTTGTAGTAGTGCCTCAGTCCAGCACCCTTCTAGGTTGTCCATAGCATTGCCTCATCCTGCACCCTTCCCAAACACTTGAAAATGTTTCAGTTGCTCTTAATTCAGTAACGGAGAGATGAGGGTCAGATCCAGGGTGTCCTCCCATGAGCAGCTGTTAGCATCAGTGATTAGGAACAAACTGGGAGAAACTTGTATTTAATACCTGTGATACTGTGGTGCTCTATTAGGTCTCTTCCAAATGTTTAGCTGGTTACGGTGAACCCAAACAATAGTTGTTGGTGTCTCTTCCCAAATTTCTTACTCATTAGAAGTAACTGGGCAGTACAAGCGTAAGAATTCATAGAGGAATTCTTTCAGTACCTAGATGGCCAGCAGTCTAATACGAGTATAAAAGGTGATGAAACTTAAAACATCAGTGTTTAGGCTCATCTGTGCCAGTTATAAAAATATTGCTTTGAGATTCAAGGAGCAGGTCTGTATTGCCTCAAGTTTACCTTTGCCTTCAGGTTTTTGCAGTTAAAAGTCTTTGTCTGTGTCCCAACACAGGATAAAGGATGCAGGAATCTCCTTTTGAATCTCTAAATAAATTTGCTATGGCTGGTTTCAGCCTGCTCTCTCTGTGCTTGTGCAGCCATTAAGTTGAATCTTATTGGTCCAAACATTTCAGATGAAAACTTTTATTTTTTTTAAAGTCATGCATCAGTATTCATGAAAAACAAAACTGCGGATTTCTGCCTCTGACTTTAATGCAAAAAGAGTCAAGAACCTTTCAGAATTTTTCCATCACAATATTTTTATGACAGATAATCTCCTTCTACGAATCCAGAATAGACACAGTCCAGAGATTAAGGGTATTAAGGGCAGAACGGGCAAAGCACAGATCCTGCGTCAAGCCAGGCAGAGGAGGAACCGCTCAGGGAAGGGGAGGATTTCTCCATTGCTTTCCTTGGAGTGATTCTCTGTGAAGAACTGGTCAAAGAGCACCCACCGGGGCAGGGACCAGGACATCGGTCTGTCACCCCTAAGGAGCCGCTCCGACAGCCCAAGTGGGCTGGAGATGTCACTGCTTTAGGCAAGAAGTTAAAGCAAGAAACCTTTCCAATTAAAGTTTCACTGATACTGATACATGCCAGTGAAAAGTGCCCAGTGTGTGCTCTGGTTTAAATTTTTCTCACCCAAAGTTTTTCACCAGCTCTATTGGCAGACAAAATGTGCGTGCTACAAGAGCGGGCAGTTGGCAGACCACAGTAATTCTCCCAAAGCTGTTTTTTTTTGGAAAATCCCCTCCAAGGAGAAATGTTGCATTTTTAAAAATATCTTGTCCTCATTTGATTTTAAATTGAAATAGATTTGTGCTTTTTAACAACCTTCATCTTGATTTATGATGTACAAATATGGTGACATCGAAATCGTAAACCTTGGAAAGATTTTCTTCAGGGTTTTCCCCCAGTTATATTCAACTGTTCAAGCTAACTAAAATCTTTATTTTCCAAGGGTCCATGAATAAATACTGATCTGAAAAGGCCTCACTTGACGTTCTCTGTGCCATAGATTAGGACTATTTATTTAGTTACAGGAAGACATTTACACAGAAGAGTTTATAACTGAAATGCCTTTGGGATCCTTGCTGTATCAGTGCAAATTGCGCTATTATAAATTCAGTGTGCTTTAAACTTTATACAACTTATACTGTACGTGATAATAAACATTTGGCATCTTTAGCATTTTCTAACTCACACAATTTAACTGCCTTGCTTGGTCATAAAGTCTTATCTCAGTTTTACCAATGTAAATTCAGAATGACCGCAGAGGAATTACTTGAAATTTTTATTAGTACAAGTGAGATTAGAATTTGGCCAGCTCAGTTTTTTCTTCATGGAAAAATTTAGATATCTCTAAGAAATGTTGCTGAAGACTGAGAAGCACATGGAGTCAGCATGAGTGCTGTGATTCTGACCCCATGGGCACTGTGAGGCTGCCTCTGTAGCATCCATCGAGAGATGCTGAATCACACCAGTACAGCCCAGTCCTGCAAATATTTCATCCTGCCTGCACCCCAGCGAAATGAGGAGGACAACAGGTAGGCTGAGCGAGTGAGGACCTTCTGCTCGCTCCCTGGGTGGTTTGGGCATGCAGACCCAACCATGGGCAACAATCTTTTGTGCTTGACGCCATTGCGGTGTGGTAGGGAAATGGTCCCTACTGGCATAAGAGGAGGTTCTGCCATGCGGGCTGGTGCCACCAGGAAAGGTAAAAGCCATTAGTCACTCCCTGGTGAAGGCACTCTGCGAGTTCTTGCTTGCAGCCTTGTGCCTTAACACTGTGGTGCCTGAAGTTCACTAAAATATACTAGCTGCAAAGCATCTGAGCCTCCATTTGCACACACAGACTAAAGATATATTTTACAGCAGGATGACAGGACAAAGAAAAATAAATGAATGCTGAATTAATACATTTTAATGCTCTGGACAGGGTAGCTTGTAGAGATTTTCTGCCTTTATTCTTTTAAAAAACACTTTTACTTTGGGCTCAGTAAACAAAGCGTATGTGTTTTGTTGAAAGATTTACAATCTATCGCTTAAATCTCCTAGCACGGACCCTTGTTCTGCCCAGTCCTACCCCTAAGAGACTGAAGACCTTTGTCTTGGGTGGCCTAGAGCCTCCTCCAAAAAGCTTTCCAGGGAGGTCAGGCTTATGATTACTACATGACAAGATACAGGCAACAGTGTAATAGCCTGTGCCTAACGTGTGATGTACTGAAAATATTGCACCCTGGAGAAATACCGATTACTGAAATATGTACCAATAACTCAAGACCCTTTAGTCAGCCTTGAAATGTGGGTCTGCTGAAGTTTTATACTAGAGACCTTGCATCAAAAGGAGAATGTCTTTTCATAACAGTTTCTTTGCAATGTCGTTTCCCCTTATCTCTAGCCCAGACTTCAAAGTCTGGCAACCACCTCCTGCAGTTGCAGGCCACTGCTCATCTTCCCTAAAGCAAACTGCTGTGAAGCTTTAATTCTACAGAGCTTAGGAGCTTTGCAGGACTGCAAACAAATGTCAAGGGACCGGCTTTGGGAAAACCAAGAGTTTTTAGTGAACCGAAGTTGGATCACCAAAATTGGACTCCATTTAAATGCAGGGACTGTGGAGGGATATTTTTTTTTTTTTCTGGAAGGATATGCTTAAAATTTGCATGTACGTGAGCTCCCTCCCTCCCCCATCAGAAATCCTGACAGCCCCGTGGAAGAATATGGTACTTTCTGCTGCAGTTTATTGATGTACTATCAAGCTATTAATGACTCTAGTCTTGCAACAGCCCTGCTAGCATCACCGCCCTTATTTTACAAAGGGAAAACAAAAGCATGGTAGGTAGATGGGTTTATTCAGAGAGAGGGAGCAGTCGTAGATGGAGCCAGGAAAGAAAATGTTTCTCTCCTTTCCCCCTTCTCCTGAGCTTTAGCTAGATTCAGCCTGTTTTGCTGCAGGTGGCTTCTGATGTTAGGTATCTTAAAGTAGCACGATCTGAATAATTGCAATCATTTTCCCAGACTGATTTGGGGAGGTTTAGGGGAAAAGAAGAGGTTTTAAAAATATGCCTACAGATGAGTCATGCTGGTTCTATAAAAGTCATCCTTGCAGGTGATTAGCACCTCCTCTGACAAGGCACTGCAGTAGGATTTTAAAACTACTTCAGGTCCGCACATTCGAAAAATGACTTCCAGACCAAATTGCAACGCAGTGCTCTGCCCCAGCCCTTCCCTCCCTGGCTCCCTGCCTCTAAAGGCCAAAACAAGTATTAGAAATAAATACTTACCAGTTCAGCATCCTGCTGACTGATGTCCTGAAGGTAGGGAACGGTTGCTAGCTCAGCCATCGCTTGATTAATCACTTGGGACTGTTCCTCGACTCTCTGCAAACGGCCAAGGATGCTGGCGTAATGCAACTTCTCTATCCCACGTGAACACGGGCAGCGATTGTCCTGTTTTCTCAGGAAAAGCAAGTAGGTTAGAGGAGAGTTGCAGAAAACACACTTATCCTTTGAGTCCTATGCCTTGAGGCTTATCATCATATGTATTTGTGCTGGTAATACTATAAGCAATATGGCATCCAGCACCTTTAAGATAATGCCGCTGACAATCTTTATAGAGGGGGAAAAAATAATAATAATTTCTTTCCACAATCTCTCTAGTAGTACTAGAAAAATAAATATATAGTCATAATATATGTGGAGGGGAGACAGCAGATAACAAACATGAATGCAATATTCTCATTCGGAAATGGCTTTTCCATAATCCCCTCTGTTAAATATTACCTGACTTTTATGGATTGCTTTTAAATTTTCAGTGAAGAGGCTGAGGAAACTGTGCGGTGTGTCAGCTTGTGGTTTGTTTGCAGACTAGGCAAATCCATATTTTTCAAATATATAACCTTGAGGGACTAAAACCTGCAGAGGTGGTATCTGATCCTCCAGGCAGCTAGGCACATGGTAAATTTTAAGCATGTGAATACAGAAATTCAGCCAAGTGCTTGCATAAAATCTCAGCACCTGCTGAAGTGTTTGATGGATGGCAGCCTTACCACCATATTTTCAAAAGTATTCTGAAGCCAAAAATGCAAATAAGCACCCTACTGGGATTTTCAAAAGCAATTTGGCCTACATTCCCGACGAGATGTAGCCATTGCATATCTGTATGCTCAGCCCTTCAGAGTGAAATTTCCATTCATCTAATCAGGGTTTTGAATGTATTTAAGTGCCTGAAATTCCAAGAATTGGCATCAGTTTTCAAAACCACTTCCAGTATTTTTAGCAGGTCTTTGTTCTGGCGGTTACATATGGTGGCATGCTCGTGCTGCCATTTACATACATTTCCAGGTAGGTGATTCTAGGTCCAATCATAGATTAAACAGGGTCAAAGAAAATTTTTGAATGACATTTATTTTTCAATAAATTTTCAATAAATGGTGTCCCATTTTTAAAATGAACTTCTCTTGGCAAAGAATCTCGATCATTTGGTTTGATGTTGATTTTGCAGAAATTTGTACTAGGCAAGCATCAAGTGTTATCAAAATTATTATCAACATATCAAGTCTAAGAATTTAATAACAATGCTGGTCTTGCTTTCTAGATAACTGACAAGAATAATAGTGGGAAAAAACTTAGTTTTCTTTTAACTCTAGAAAAATACAAATAATCCTGGTATAGTTAATTTTACCTCTTTTAATATAATATCTAATATAATTGTAAAATTGTATGAAATGAAAGACCATGCACTGGATACCAGTGCAGCTATAATCTGGGAGCTCCAGATGTGAAAGCAAGTGAAAAAGAAAGAGCTGAGCCAATGAACTGGTATTTCCATTAGCTGAAGGAGAGAATCAGGTACTGCACAGGGAAAAGGAGCTCCGGTCAGCAGTTCTCTGGAGTATTGCAGATAGCTCCACTCAGCTGTGTTTGGAGAGGTTAATTTAAACCCAAGCATCATGAAGCAGAGAGGCCAGCACGGTAGGAGATACCTCTTTTGAGAGAAGTGTGGTTTGATTAGTCTATTAATGAAAATGCCAAGAGCTTATTATTCTTCTCAATAAACATAATGCAGGGCTAAATTCCAAAGAGAGCAAACAACTGAAAAGGGAAGGAGAGATAAAGGACAATGATAACAGAAGGACCATTGTGTATAAATAGGTACAAATAAGACTGGGGTGGCAATTAAGCTTCTTATAATTCAGGTTGAAGGTCTGCAGTGTGTTTCACCAAGAGCAGAAAAGGCAGAAAGCCTAACTAGTTCTAAGATGAATTTTACTCAATTTATGAATACAATATTAGGTGACACAAAGGTGTATAGTAGCATGTGGTTTGACTTGAGGAACCAGGAGAGTGCTTCCAGGACTACCTTCTCATGAACTTCTGTTGACCTATCTCTAAGAAGGGAGACCAGGACAACCTTCTTAGAAACTATTTTTATCACTTGCAGAGTCCTTTTCTGAGGACCTGACCTAGTATCAGTAGGAGACACCAGCAAGAAAAAAAGATTTCTGTGATCTCTAGTATGTGAAATTGTACATCTGACACAGTCTAGTTCCCATAGCAAGGAACAAAATGGAGCCCCATCTCTACCTGATCATCGGTGTTTGAAAGCCAGATAGCTGTGTCCCCAGGTAGAGCTGTGTGCATTAAAATAAGGAGAAGCAATCAGTTAATGAGAGAGAAAGAGAGCTCTTATCAACATGAAATAGTCTCACAACATTTTAGATGCAACAAAAGGTTTCTCCCTGCTATTCTTGAAATTCACCCAAAACCTTTTTGTGTAAGCACTGAGAAATGAGTATATTGAGTCATCAGCTGAGAAAGCAGGTAAAAATCCTCTCTCATCATGCTGTGTCTGTTGGGGGCTTCTCCAATGATTAAGAAAGTAAAGGCGAAAAGAAAACAATTTTTTCTCTGCTTGACTCTCCAGAAAAATATGAGAGCATGCCACGTAGCTATGGGAAACAAACTGGGCATCTGTGCCAATATGAACCCTGTGGACATAGCAATGCTATTTAAGTTTATAGTAGGTTAGAAGTAAATAAATAAATAAGCGTCAGCAGGGTTTTTTTGAAGGGATTAGAGGAGGTTGAACATTGTCAGAGGTGGCATTTCAGTGACAATGAAAAATGCAGAAAGAGAAAGTAAATAACTGCTGCTGGCAGGAGAAAAAATTCCACGGGGAGCTGAACCACATGATGAGAATTACATGAACTATAGCAGAATTCAAGGGGCTACTAAGCTGCAGTAAAAAACATAATAAAGTGGCCAAGCAACCAGATGAAGATGAAACCGGCTCAGGTAGGCAAAGTGAAGAGCAAACTTAAATGGAGACTTCAGTGGAAAAGAGTTAGCTCCTTTAACAAAGAGAAGAGAGACACTTTTGAGGAATCAGGTAGCAGAGGAACCAACAAATGCAGTATACGGAGTAACAGTTGCACCCTAGAAATGCAGTAACATACTAAGATAATAAATTGTTAAATTATGATGCTGTTACTTTCTGGATGGGCCTTATCCCTGCTGTCTGGTATTCCAAGGAGAATTTAAAGAGAAAAGTAAAACCGAGCAATTGATGAACTTTCTCTTGGGGACTTTATTTGTAATGGGCAGTCTCGCCTGAGGCAGAGGTCCTCCCAAGAGAGAGCTTTCCCCAGAAAACTTTTTGCTGCACTAATTCTCTTTAAACAATAACAACAAAAAAAGGTGTTTATCCCCAGAGGCATCTTTGAAATTCTTCATTCAAGGAGAAATAAGGTCCTGATGCCCAAGGATCAGTCTTGTGACATCCTCGTTCCTCTGACGTTGGGATGAAAAAGCAGCTACAAAAAGCAGATCAGCGTGTTCTGGATGGAGCTTACCTGCTATTGCTAAATACCCGACATGAACAACCAGAGCAAAGATAGGACAGGCTTGCATTGCAAAAAGGAGCTGGAGAGCATGTGAGAGGAGTGAATCATGTGTCCTTTCACGTATTGAGAATTTTGGGATGATGCCCCCACTTTTTGCTTTCCTCTATATTCAAGAAAGGAGTAATCCCTTATGCCACTTCTGTTTATAAATAAAATTTAATTGCTGAGTGCTAAGAAAAAGAAAAGCAGAGTGGCTGGTCACCCTGGATTTAAAGCAGGATCTGTCATATCCTATACATGTGGCAAGTTTACCTATCAGCTTTAAGAGCACTACTTTGCAAAAGTCTGGAATGTCCTCCAGTAGTTATTTTTTTCTGTTGTGGAGTCTTTACCACTATTTTTCAGCTCAAAATATGAAGGAGGTTATGCCTTGAAAGCAGCTCTGTAGTGTATTGCAATAACAAACAGAAAAAAATCCATCATAATGTTTCCTTAATGCCCTTGGTATCCTCCAGAAAATGCGTATACTGAAATCTGTATGTAGTAAACACTTTCCTTCTACTTAAAAAATAGACAACGAAACAGTGAGATCTGTAAATGTGTGCATCATGCTGTGAATCATACAGTAGGTTTTGTTCACCTTTATAATATGAGCAGTCTAATAAGCCCCGCTGGCCACCGTTTCTCCTCTTAAGTAGCATCATGTGCCATCGCCATGGGACTACAGCAGGAGAAAGGCAAACTTGGTGTCTACAAAGCAGCAGAAATTACCCCAGTGAAATCACTTGATAGAATAACCACTTGTCAGTGCTGGTGATCTTGACTCGAATATGAGTAGTTGGAGGTCTGACTGACATATTTTTTTAAGACAGATAAAATAATCCTTGTGTCACTGTATGTATTTCTGGGTAGATGAGGTTTATGGCATTTCCCCACTAGCAGCAGATGATGCGGCACAGGGACCAGACTGAGACATCCTTTCTCAGATGCTTCTTGCTTTACAATACACAAACGTCCCTTTGATTTAAATGGGACTGGCTGTTCTTTATGAAGAAGGGGGGCCAATAGAAAATGTTCTGCTTTTTTAACCTTTAACTTAATGTCTTACCAGCGGTGATGTGTGTATAAATCATACAATTTGTTGTGTAGCTGCACAACTGAGATGGCAGAATTGACTTATATTAAGTATTGCTATGGCTTAATAAGCTCTGCTTTAGCACTGAGATGTTTTTATCAAAAAAATCTGATTAGGACAAACGTTTTGGGTTGTACGTTTGCACCTACAAAAGAAGAAAAGGGCAGAAAGGAATGCTTGTTCTATTAAAAACCAAATACGTTCTTTTATCTTCTTAAAGTAAGTTGTAAAGCTAGAGTCTGTATCTGAAGTTTGTCTTGCAAAAGTTTTTAATTTAGTTTGTCTATGATGGAAATACAATGGAATCATATTTCTAGCTTGAAGAAAATTTTGGAATACTTTCAAGGAAGCAAAAGTGGCCAAATCTCTGCCAGGCCCATAAAGAGATTTTAATTACCAGTAGCAGAGCAGTTCTGGCTCTGTGCCTATCTGTATTATCAGGTATAATTGGCTTTGTCATTCGCTTTTTGGGTCAGAGGTTCTGTCTTGCCTGGGTCATTCAACACTATGAAAACTGAAGGGAAAGTGAATATATTTCCACTGATAATGGATGTGGAATTGGCAGCTGTTTGTTCTAACTCAGTGATAATTTCTTCTCTCTTGGGGCTTTCCTCCTCTCCATTAAAGCTCCCGTACTGATCCCCTGGAAGCTGATTCTAAAGCTATAGGACCACGGTTCAGACCTGTTATCCCATTCTTGCTGCTGCTGGAGGTGGCACTGGGGTAGACCTTGCCTGAACCATGGGGATGCTGTGCTGACCTCCTTGAAAAGAAGGCAAGTTTGCTGATGACTTCAGTGGTGCTGGGGTTTCACCCTGTATTTTTGGAAGCCCTCTTCTGTATCATTTATTTAAACGTATGAGGTGAGGTCTAGAGCTAGCAGAAAATATTATTGTGTAGGAGCAGTGTAAATTTATACAGCTAGTGGGGGCCAGCTTGAGCAATCCGAATACACCGCTCCACTCTTGTCTCCTTCCCAATGAGTTTGTTTTCTTTTCCCTGTACCCTGGATACCAGATACCATGTACCTCTGCTTGACCCATGTGGTCCTGCTCCTCCAAATTCATTTACAGAATAGAGTAGTTATGGGGAATCCAAAAGATACCTGATTTAAAAGTGTTTTTCTCTTCCTGATACTATTTAGAGACTGAATAACTGCAATAGAGGAATCTCACCTCTGAAAGCTTTATGTTATACCCAAAGAGAGAATTGTGGGGTTAAAAAAAAAATAAAAATAAATTGGACTTTTATGAAGGCTTTCAGAAAGACCAACATTGTATTCTGTATCTGGTACCCAACCTACTGTCTGCTTATACTAGCTTCTTAAATGTTCGAAGTGCAATGCACACAGCAATAACAGATATTTCACTTTCCCAAAGACGCCACTTCTATTAGCCTGCACATCAATAACTTGGGCTTTTGGTCATCCGAAGCCAATAGTGCATGGCTTCAGGAAAGAACTGGAAAGAAGCAGCTGCGTGTTTCCTTGGGGATGTCTGCCCTCAGCCTGCTCTACCTGCCTCACACCGATGTGGATGCTTTATGAGTGCCCATCTTGGCGAAGCACTAAGCACCTTTACCTCCCACTAAGCATGTGTGTTCAAGCACTTACTGTTGTTTCAGCAGCTGCTCTCTGACAGTAAAGAAGGTATAACTTCCCCAAATATCTAGCTAATGTTTCTTCCTTGCTAGGGGTTGCTAAGTAGCAGTTTTTGTCAACCTCCTATCTGATATCAAAACCTAAGAATATAAATCCTGTGATTTGTTAAGACACCCCTGACGAAGAAATGGTTCTGATTCCTTCAACATACAGAAAAGTAAAATCTGTTATTGCTAGGGAAAAAGCATTAACGTTAGCATTTACAATCTGGGGAGGAGAGGCTTCTTCCACTTATTTTCAGGAGAATAATTTAAGAATTGCATTAAAACAGTCTAGTCTACATGCAAATTTGATTTTTGACCTTTTGTGCTAATCAAAAGCCATAGTGCTAAAAAGCTGTGTACATTATTGCAGAAAGTATGGAGTAGAATTAACTAATATACCTTCAATATGGTTGTAACAGATTTGAAGGTTATTTCACATACTTCACTACATAGGGATCAGGATCTAAATCACTAGAAATGCTTCAAGTAGCAATTATTAACTCTTGAAGGAGATCCTGGAGATATATGTAGTATAGTACAGGTATTAAATATAGCGACTAGTTTTGGTGGTTATGTGAAGTAGGGATATAATATAATAGGCCATATAGATTTGAGGAAATTGCATGCAAAATGATTTTAAATAAAGTGAGTGCGCTGTTAAATTATTAGGGCTACTTTTCAAAAGTATATAAACCCCATTTGAACTATGTTCCTGATGCAATTCACTGAATGTTTCTGGACACTGGAGGAGCACGTGCAGAACGAATTACCCACCAAAAAGCACACGTCATTCACACACGCACAGGCCTCTGCTGCCATACACAGTACACACCAGAAAGTGAATTTTATACTCACGGTTAATTTGGTGCTTCTTATAAAATCCATTACCGGCACGATCTTTTTTCCAGTGTTATTCCAATAACTTTTCATTTCTTTGTCTGTGAGAGGACTCAAAGATGCTTTCTGGTCTAGGAAATGAAATCACAAAGCCATATACTGTATTTATTCATATATATTTTCCATAGAGGATCTAGCAGGATGACGGGTAAACTGGGGGAGGAGATGAGGAGAGCTGTCTGGACAGTCAGGGCTGCTGACACAGAGAAATGGGTCCCGAGAAGCCCCCCACCCTCCCCATTTAGCAAGGATCATATAGGTCACCCCTGAGCTGAGCTATCCCAGCTATTAAGCAAGTTGGCGTACCTGAAAAGATTGGCAGTTTTCTACTTGACCACCTTTCCAAGATTTTTCCAATATATTTTTGTCTGAAACCCAGAGTCAGTAAGTACCGCTGGGGAGGCAGAGAGGGCCACTCAGCTGTCTGTGGCAAGATGTGAAATCCATGAGGATCTGGAATAGGGAAATGAAGAGAATTTCCAGTGTCACATTTCCTTTCAGTTGTAAGAGAAGTTACTTTTTTTGGAGGAAAAAAAAAAAGCAAGTCTAAGAAGGACTGAAATGTAATCCAGAAAGCTTGCCAAAACAAAGGTGACCAAACCAGCCCATCCAGCTATAACTGGGTTTGAAATTCCAGACTTTGCAACCTTTTGCATCAACAGCTTAAATTTTGCTGATGCATAAGATAAAACGTGTTCTTTCTATTTATGCACTTTTCAATGCTGATCATCCAAAGCGTTAATAACTCAACACTTCAGTAACATAACATCCTGATCTTTTAACTGCAAGAGAAGCTGTTTTGTTGTTCCCTGAATCTGTGAGGTTTGATTTCCTACAGATTTGTGCTTTTACCATCACCACCACCATAATCCCAGGCTTCCTGCATGTCCTTTCTGATCCACCCAGCTGGCATGTGACAGCCCGTGCTGTGGCTTGTCCAGAGTTTGTGACTGCAGCTGCCAAAGTCCCTGTGTATCAGCTGAGTCGGTCTGCCCTGACCTCGGCGAGGACAGATGCTCAAAGCAATGGTATAAACCACCTTTGCTTAGGGAACCAGACTGGCCCTTTCCTCCCTCTCCTTTCCCTGCAAAAAATAAACCTAGATTGAATGTCAGTGTCACTTTTCACAACGGAGTGCTCTGTTTTCAGTGAGTTCTGCTTTTAAGATGCCAGGCTGTGCGGTCACAGTGACAAATGGAGAACCCCACTCGGAGCTCTCCGGACTTACCCCTATATAAATCAAAGCGAGTGGACCTAATATTTCCCTTGTAACATATTCTGCTTCTGATGGGTTCTCAGTTTTGCAGCAAACTGCATTGTACGCTTGGATTTAAATGTGTGTCTGCTCTTTTTCCTTGGCAATAAGGAAAACTTTGAAATCAATTCAGTCCTTACACTCCAGAAGAACTTAGACTAAAATTGGACAGATGATTGTCACAGAATAGGAAGGTTATTTAAAATAACATGTTCGTGAGATGTCTGGTATTTCACACCCACTGTTAAAATGGGGTTTAGCTCATATTTTTAATTTCACCTATGTGAGATACAGACCTGCAGGTTGGATGCTCAGTGGTACCACACTGACAATGAGCTAAACTTGTTCCTTGTGATTGGGTTTTTTTTTTGGTGGGCAGTGTGATTTTAGGCCAGATCTGAATAGATAAGTGGAATAACCCCTACTGCTTCGGTTGACTTCACCTAACACTGTTGTGAGTTATCTCAGCATCCAGTCTAGGAAGAGGAGCCGCATCTGCCCTGAGAGGGATTTTTGGACAGAAAGGAGGGAGGTTGGAAGATGTCCTGCCGGCGTGAGATGTCTCACACCACTGCACTCTCAAAACCCTGATACTCATTTTTTCTTGGCTATCTATCCCATTTAACTCCTAGAAACTTCAGTGATCCCAGAACCTGCACTTGGAGAAACTTGTGTAAAATTGAAGCCATTCTTTTAACCAATAGATGTTTTTGTAAACAAACATATTTGAAGGTAGCATTGGCTCTACTCAGTCTGTTTTATAATTGACTATAGTACTATAGGACTGGGATCTTTACTCTCCCTGTTTTGTTTTTTTTTCTTCTTTCTTTTCCTTCTTGGGAGGAGTAGAAAATGACTGGTGACACTTTCAGAGTCATTCAGCGATTTATGAACACAAACTGAGTTTCAGTGCAACACTTGCACACTTTTGCTGCTTATGTGCGCCTGAAAGTCTCACCCTTGCTGTAAACTGAAGGGGCTATGTGAAATATGATTTTATCTTTTTAAAAATCATATTCAGGGAGTTTTATGCTCCTTTTAATATCAATACTTCTGTCCCAGGAAATTCTCCACAAAGTCACATCAGCAAGTAAACGGTAGACAGGGATTTTACAACCTCTGTGATAGATAAGTCCTCATTTTCCCTCTTTGAACAACCCCAAAGCTACTGCTAGAAACCCAATACATGGATGGTCTGCAACTTGCAAAACACAATCTAGTTTTGTACAGGTTTCCAAAAGCAAAACAAAAATGAACCAAACAAGTTTACTTATGTTAAATGTTTGCACAGTTTTGTGGTAAACACTTGGTTTCCTAATTCTTATTTGTGTTTTTCAAATAGAATTTCTTTTCCTCCCCAAAGAGGCAATCCTTTTGGAAGCCTCATTTATCTGCTGAGTGCCGGGGCTCAGCGGTGCTGCAAGGACTAAGCCGTCTGACCTGGGTGCAACTCTTGCACGGAGCGGGCAGCACCTCAGCCTTTTGGATGACCCTGCTGGAAGCGGCAGTGAGAAGTGAGCTACACACCTAGTTTGTATGATGAAGATGGAGGCTTTTCAGAATTTGACCTGAGAAATGTACTTTTCCCTTTATGTTTTTCAATCACCAACTCAAAGCCAAGTGTATCGGGGTCAACTATGTTCCAAATCACCAGGTTAATGATGGTAAGAAATGCCTTTTGTCCCCTAGTATCTCTTTTGCCAAAATGTCATGCCCATTCCTTTTGAAATAAGGCTGTGGTCACCAGAATTTAAGCATCTGTTTACTCCAGGAGATACAGTGACTCAAATTGACAGAGGAAACCACGTGCTGCAGGACTGGGTGCTCCTGGCTGGTGTGAGATATTTAAAAGACATGTAAATGTGGTACTTAGGGACATGGTTTAGTGGGACTTGGCAGGACTAGGTTAATGGTTGGACTCGATGATCTTAAAGATCTTTTCCAACCTAAATGGTTCTATGATTCTATGCTACTTGAGTTCACCCTGCCAGGAGACGACAACAGCCTCTGCAAAGCCCTTGTTTCCTCTGGATCCTACTTGTCTTCAACAGGCTAAAGGAAACCTGGCTATCTATTCCCATCCTTGCAGCTGAGATGCTCTCCAAGGTGGCGGTCAGTCCATTAGTGCTTGTAGAAGGGAGGATATTTTTGGAAAGTGAAGGCCCTGCTGCAGAGATGACCATCGGTGACCGATGGAAATCCACAGAGATGGGAATGAACTTGGGTCTCACTGTCACCACAATACACTGCAAATCTACCTTTGAACAAAAGATTAGTTGCAATAATGAAATTCAACAATGGAAACATGAGGCTTCATGGATAAAAATCATCTTTATGGGGATTTGCAGTATAAAGTCTGTACTTCACCTTAGTACTGGTTTGATTACCTAAATCACGTACAATCATAACGCATATCTCAGAAGTTAATTTCCACCCCCCCCCCGAAGTGTAGAAATGTCTAAAGCTCAAGCTCCAGACTCTTTCAAACTCTTTTAAAGTCAGCCACACACACACGAACAGTATATAGTGCTTAAGAGCACGTGAAATCTGCTGTTACCTGTATATATGTGCTCCGTGTAATCAGGGTGCTTTTTAGCAAACACGTCCTTTATCTTGTCTATTTTGTCAGCCTTGACTTCTCTCACAAACGGTGTGTACATAACCGAAAAAGATACTTCTGTAGTGATGGCTTCTTCAATCATAGCCTAAAAAAGGCAAAAAATTTATACATTTCATGTTGGTTAATGGCTACTTAAAAAAAAAAATTACTTTCACAGATGATATTTTCCCTTTAATAATTGCACAGTCATGCAAAGATAACATATTTTGGTCTTGAATATTAATTAGGGGGGAATTTAAATTAGTTCCAGAAAACACTGCCTATCTATACTCAGAAAATCAATTTAATGGAGAAAGAACATTTGTAAACAGTTTTCACTGCAGCAAGCCTATGTCTTCAATGAGGAGAAAAGTATTAGATAAATTACCTTTTAGATGAAAAGAAAAAGTGATTCCATGCTCTCTGAAGGTCACATCTTTCATCTGAGGGTTTTATTCAGTCCTTGGGAGCTGGTTAAACAATACTAAGCATTCTTATTACCCCTTGGGTTGGCATGAATCAGACACTGTGCCTATACGGGATATTAGTCTTAAAATATTACATTTAAACACCATTTGCATTAAGAGTAAAATTCACTCCTGTGCAGAGGGCAACACGAAGCTTATGAACCTTGCCATCCCTTAAAACCGACTCAAATGATGCATTGTGCTGGTCTTATGTGGAGAGGTGGATTTCACGCTCAGTGGACCCCAATGAACTGGTGCTGGAACTGCCAGGAGGAGCTACCAGCCTGGAAACAGCCTTGCTCGGTCCTCTTATCCATCAGCGCAAGGGAGGTTGAGCTGCAGTTCCTCCTGGGTTGGGGTTTGGATAAGGCCACGTTCAGCGCTGCTTCAGCTGCATCTGTTGCTAACAAAGATTTTGTCTTCTTGGTGTGGGCAGTCCTTTCTGGAAACTGGGGGAACTGCAAGGCTTCATTAATGTATCTTGGTAAAAGCGTAAACACGGTTAATAGTGACAGTACTAATGCAAAGTTAATAGAGGTCGTCAGAAAAGCATGAGAGGGAAAGACATCTATTTTTTTAGCAGAGTGTTTGAATCTCCCAGATCACCTTACACACTGAAGTGATTCACAGAAGGTATCATTATGGGACTAGCTTGGTGTTTTATTGACAAGTCCTTGCTTTTGTTGTCCAGTCTATCCTCCACCTATGTAAAATCATCCAAGACATAATGTGCCTCCGTGAGTCATTTGTTTAGCTGACGACTGGTCCCACTGACCCAGAATGGAAGGCTGAGAGTGCCAATTAGTTAAATATCTATGTCCTTCTCTTTAATGGCTTTAGACAACAGGTCCTCTGATATGGTCTTACGCCAGTTTGTTTCCATCCTGTTTATTGGTATGGGGTGTGCAGAAATACCATAGAAATGCTGTAATCGTTTTGAGCAGATATTGGGATAGGCTGCCATACGTGCACCCTGAGTGCTCTTACACTGAATACTCTGCCTGGATGTTGAGGGTATCACTGGGGATTTGTTTATATTTCAGATTACTATATTTAGTCAGCCCATTATCCTGCATTTACTAGAAAGGAAGCAGTCTGGAGTGGCCAGAATTAAGCCCAGGAAAATTAACAAGCTTCAAATGTGTGTAATAGTATCATGACCACCCGGGGCAGTAATAACCTCCCCCCCTGGTGAGGAGGAGTTCCAGCTTTCCACAGGCACAGCCGTGTTATCCATGGTTAATGCCACAGATCTGGAGGTATCAGACCAGAAAATAGCAAGTGTGTCCTCCTGCCAAATGCTCAGGGGCCCATGAATGGATCCGTGCCCGTTCCTCCCTGCAGGAATACTTACCAGTCTGCACTGATTTATAGGAAAGTGATTTTAGGTTTTCATATTTCTATGGACTTTAATTATCTTGTTCTTCAGGGCCCTTAGAGGACCGGTAGCAAAACAATGGTACCAATCTAGCTTTCCAAGGTACATTTAAAAAACCCCAGAGGCCTACTTGCTCAAGTTTTACTGAATTTCGTGTGTAAATATAGAGAAAGAATTAGGTCGCCTTTATTTTGTGTGACTTGTTGGGTATTCTGCTTATTTTCTATAGCTTGGCAACCATTTCTTAATCTGGATTAATATGAGCATGTGAATGTGTTTTTGGGTGTATCCATGTACTTCAGATTTAAAATACATGGAGTGAGGCAGCGAGATGAAAACGTGAGTGGCTGGACCAGACAAGCTCTGTATTGTGCCCGCAAAGTTTACTTTTGGCTTTATCATCCTCAAGAACAGTTCAAAGTCACACCTGTAGTATCTCTGCATTGCCATGTACCCATGGCTACTCTGCACAGCATGCAAATAGCGACCAGCTCAGAGGGCAATAATGGCAAAATGTCAGCCAACGGGGAAAAGAATAGTTTCTGGTCAATACTGCTACTGAAGGTATTATTATTACCCAAGAGTATTTTTTTTCCCCAAGCTACTGACCCTGGACATAGATGCTATTTGTTTTATTGTCCTCTTGGATTTTTATGGGGTAAAGTCTTTAAGGATATAAAACTTCAGCCCATAAAATCTTTGGAGGAGAAAACTTTATACGATGAAATCCCTAAGGATTTTTCTGCTTAAACCTTTATGCACTGAAGTCCATACTCGTGGATGAATATCTGGCAATGTGTCCAGGAAACAGGGATGCCTACAGAACATCATCTCTCATGCTGTACACCGTGCAGCTACTCAAGATATAGTCATACTGTGGAGAAGACTGCAAGGCCTCCGATGGACTTTCAAGAAAGTCCTTGCAGAGAGGACAGGACAACTGGTTTTTCCCATTTGCATGTGTTTTGGTGTCTTGGCATCTGAAGGGTCCTTTCTGCGATGTCCTCTCAGATAGATACATTGGGGAGGACGTTGCTGTTCTGCCCTGGGAGTGGAAGAAGTGTCAGGCTCTTTCATCAGTATGGGGGGACAGATGCTAAACTGATACAGATGATAAAGATAGATGATTTTTTTTTTTCATATCTCGCAAGTGAGCTCTGCAGTGATATCTCATCACATGGTGCTACATTCCAGCCTTCAACTCCAGCAGAGTTAGAAAAAGTTAAGTCCTTGAGATGACCTTAAACTATAAGAAAGAGCTCCTCTAGCACATAATGTAAGGACTATGATTGACATGAGTCCACTGAATTTGGTGGTTTACCTCAGTAGCAGACAAAACTTATTACTTCAGCAAAGATGCAAGAATTCACTCAAGAAGAGGCTGCAGAGTAATCTGATGATAGGGAAGATTCTTTTTTTGTAGTTATGGGACTGACTCATGCTCTGCTATGTCAGGAGGTTTATATCCCTGTTTTGGAAGTGTGGGGAATGGGAGAAAGTCTGCAGAGAAACCATCTGGAGACAAAGTGTCTTAAGTATTTATATTGTCAGCACTTCTATTAAAATACCAATTAATTCCATCTTGAAACACAAGCGTTCACAAGGTTTGAGGGATATACATTCTATCACGACAATTAAAAAGCCAAAAGACATTCCTAATCAACAGCCTTTGTTTTGATCAAGGGTTTAAACATATATTTCACCCAACACCACATACTTCTCTTCTCTGAGCACCTTGGCTCTGCAATATCCTTACATTCTACCATATCTAGTAATGTTACATTTCACAGACCTGTTAATAAAACTTAAAGTTTAGCCTAAACAATCTTATATTGTCCCTTCAACACCCACTAAAATTCTGTTAAGAACTCATAAAATGAATAGGTAGATACACAAGAAACAAAGCTTTTCGGTGCCAACTTTTGATGGCAAATGATATAACTATTTCAATATTTTTATGAAGCTCTTGCCATTTTGCCTGCTTAGAGCAGACATAGAAGAAGAAAAATGGCACTGTAGCAAAAAATTGTTCATAACAGTGACAGTAGCTTTGCCTGCTACAGTCCCTAACCTTAATCCTCTTTAACTACAGAAAGGTTTAATTTGGAAAATCCAATTATCTTGACATCTGGAATTAGCCAAAAATTTAGATATCTTTCTAGTGTCTTATCTTGCAGCTGCAGTGCACACTCAGACACTGTCTCATTTACAGTACAGCAGGAATTGATGCTTTTATTGATGATTTTTATTAATGCAATGATATCAGTCAGGGTAAAGCCATTAGCCTCTTCTATGAACTGTTTCTACTCTTAGGCTGGTAGTTAGAATTATGGGTGCACTGTGGTGCAGCCTATGTGCTTTTCTCTATATCTTTCCGACCATAAAGAAGTATCTGGCAGCCCTGCCACTAAGTCTGTTGCTGTTGTGATATGAATATCTTCTCACCAGCATGATCTTCTTACATCATTTTTATTTTTTTTTTTTTTTCTGCGGGAAAAATAAGTAGACAGAATGCCAGAGCATATCCTTTTCTCAATATGTTTATGGTATGAATAAATCATGTATTATACAATAGATGAGAACTTTCTGCTTATCTACCATGTAATGCCTCCCCATTAATGTAGGTCACATCAAATATCAGCTTATTTGGGTTCTTAAGTTATTAACGTATTTAAGTATCTGCGAGTTATTTTGTATGCAGTGTGTTTTGAAAGCGGATTTGCGGAGTGGCACAGTGATAGATCCCTGTATTCTGCTGACTTCTGAAAGGCAGAGGTATTGCAGATGGGTTACCTTAGGCTTCAAGATCTGTTTGATACTCTTATAAGTATCTCTTTATGTTTGGGGAGAAAAGAAATCCATGCTTTATATCCTTCCAAAGAGAGCAGTATTCATTAAAGAAAACCCCAGAATACATAAAGCATGGAAAAGGCTGGAGGCTGCTCTTGAAAATCCATGTCCGTGATGCCGGTAGGCAGGCAAGCAGGGACTTGGAAATGCAATTCCAGTACAGGGAAGCTCGCTGCCCACAAACCTGTTCTCCAGTCTCACAAACTCACATGCATGGCGAGTGTCACAGGAGTCGTCAGCTCTTCTATCACTTGCTACCAACTGAGGATCTTACCCTTTCATCGCAGCACAGGGGTAATATGTGAAAGATTTCAGTGTTTCTTTGCTACGGTGGAGTGACTCTGAGCCCAGTGAAACAGAGGTTGTATTTGCTTTGCAAGGCTGATCCAGAGCACTGACAAGGTCAGCAGC